TCTCCAACAAAACATGTCTGAAAGCGTCAAAAATTTGTTTGCCTGCACGCCGAAAGGAACACAAACTTGCACACACATAAATAAAACAACTGACAGGGGTTTAATGCTAAATGCAGGATCCAATGCGTTAATCTTGAAAAGACACCAGCAAAACCTGCATTGCTGTAAAGAAGGGGAAAAAATCATGGAGGAGACTACGCGTTAGTGACTGGAATAGTGAAAAAATCGTCTGCGTCGGTAATCTTTTCCGGCGGTACCTAAGCTTACCTTTTTCTTCCAACGCCCTCAGCAACCTCCTTCATTCCCCATTTGTTCTTTACCAAAGTGGGATTCACATTAACCGTTCCATCAGCGTTGCCACGTCACCCTTCACCTCCATAAGCATGCTGAGTAGTTCACTATCTGACTTCTCTGGCGCAACGTCCATCTCCCGAAGCTGGCGGAGTTCGTCGCCAAAGCAGTTCGGAGCTGTGTGCCCCTCGGGCTCGGAATCATCTTCGTAGTCCATTTCCACAGCAGAGATGTAGCTCACAGGGTACTCTACACGATCTTCGTGCTTCGGTGGGACAAAATTCGGTGGGAGCTCTGACAGCGACTTCTGCGCCAGCTGCTGACAGTGAGAGTTAAACGCCGCGCGGTCTTTGCGGTACTGAACCAACGCTGCAACGTTTGCGGGGGCACCGGCATCCTTTGGGTCAGGGTCGCTGAGCAGTGAGACAACTGACAATAGAACCGAGCGAATTGTTTGAATCGGTGTCCAGCGCATCATGGCCGTCTCTTCCGTATTCATCTCATCCTCGCCAGGCGGGTGAAGGATGGAGATGCACACCTTACCATCGGTGTAAACATTGGGGTGCCAAAAGGAAGAAAGCACCTTGAAAACAGGGGGTTTCATGGGAAACTCCTTTGGAAAACGAAGCTCCGCCTTGTAAATCCCTGGCGCGTACGGGGTGCCTTCTGGGCCAGAGAACCAGACCGTCCAAGTGAAGAGATCCTCCGATTCCACGCGGAAACCGGCAGGGGGACTTGTCGACAGCTCCCGCAGTTGCTTTTGTAGATGAGGAACGGCCGACATCGCCTGCTGAAGAGAATGAATTAAATAAGCGTCAAATATCCTGCTACAACGGGGTCTGAAAGTTCGCGTGCAAAACAACTTCAAACAAAACCTCATGACAAGAAAAAAGGAAATGTAGACAAGCAAACACCAACAATGCAGAGGCAGTTCATAGTAGAGGGATGTCAACTCCACCACATCCATCCATGTGCCTCCAGATTCGCATAAGCGAAGGCATTGCATTTTTTTTTCTTAATTTTTGGGTATATATATATAAAAAAAAAAAATCCAAGGACCCGGTTGTGTGTGAAGAAAGCGGCGAGAGTGAAAGTCAAAACGTGTGTGTGTGTGAGGGGGGAAGTGAAAAATGTACGAACAAATGAACACACTGATCACCCAAAAGTGCACCCCGTTCAACTTAAGTAAGTAGGGGGCACTCATTCCACGTAAGCAGCATGCTACGAGAAATACCAAGTCATCCTTTAGTCCCATCTTTTCCCTCCCTCTTTCCTACTGTCAATATTTATTTTGTTTCTGTTGTGGTTTCCATTTGTGGAAAGGCAGCCACATCCTAATTCACAAGCACTGTTCCTCACCAGTGTCCTGTTTCCTTCGCTTATATTTGTTTGCTTCTCGCCGCACTCTCCTCAAGCGTCCTCGCTTTCGTCGTCAATGTCGCCGTACTGCCACATCCCTTTGTGACCGCGTCGAGCGATGGTTTGTGCCGCCTCATGCCGCTGATACTCCATCGTATCAATCGTCGCTGTGGCGCGGTCAAGCAGCGCAACGCCCCGCTGCAACAAGGTCTCACTCAGTGAAGGAACATTCTCGTTGACGGTGACGGTGCAGTACACGAGACCCCTCCCGTCCTCATACACCTCCTTCGCGATGGCAGCGCCATCGGTGTAATCGTAGATAACGTCGCACGCATAATTGGCATATGTTTCAGCAGCCGGCACTTTCGATTTGAGGAATGCAAGGCGCACAAGGCGAGCCAGCGGCTCCAGGTCACGCAGGAGCGCAAACTCCGGACCACGCGGAATGTTTCGTACGTCCTTCACCCGTACCTCTGACATCGTGCCAAAGTCCACAAAAAGGACCGTGACAATTGAATCACCCTTTTTTGCGTGTAGTACCTTAGCACGATGCCACGTCTTATCCTTCTTGTACTGCGCAACCACGAGTTCGCCGCGTTTGGGTTGATATTCTCCACTTGACGACAAGACTTGTTTGGCAAGATCTTGCACTGTCTCCAGTCTCTGCTCCAGCTCCTCACACTGTTCCTGTAGATAGACAGAATATCCATCCTCACCCACCTCTGACAGCACACAAGGGAAAAACTCCGCCTTTGGACCAACACAGCGAGTATAAGACCCGACAACATTAGCGTTCCGTTCAGCCATAAGCTTCAGCGCACGCTGCGGAATGGAAGATTGGTTGGACCAAATATTCTTTTGCTCACTCTGCGCCTTCCGCTCCGCATCAATGAGCTGCTGGTAATAGGGAAGACGGTCCGCATTCGCCACCGTCCCCAGTCCTGCCTCTACCGTGGCCACCGAAAAGTTGGTGCCATCAGCAAGAAAAACAGAGGAGATAAAATTACCAACCTTGTCCGTCGTATGCACCTGAATTTCCACGTTAAGTTGTTGCAGCATACTCACTGCAAAGCTCTTTGACTCCTCTGCAAATGGATCGGCGGTCTCCGAATTATTTGCGGCACCCATAGGAGTGATGATTCCCGCCACTTTTACCGGAATCTGAAAATTCTCCTTCGGAATGTACACCCGGATAGAACTCCCGCCAAGCACCAGGTCCACAACTCCCTTCAATAGAGGAGGACGGTTGCCTTGCATACCACGTTGCAGAAAACTTAGGTAGTACTTCCCACGAGCACTGCCCAGGTGACTTAATTCAACAACCTTGTGCACCGGAGGTTTTCCCTTGCTGAAGGCTCCAAGACCTCGTTCACGGGCCTTTTCTGTAGCGCTCTGCAGCAAAGAAGCAGCGGCGCAAATATCATTCTTGCCGAGGTGAAAGGTTGCGTACCCCGTCTCCAGTAAGGAGACACCCACGTTCACTCCCGTCTCCGGGATAGACAAAAGAGCCACCGGTCGAACTTCTTTCGTCTCTGGAATTTGCCGCACGTACTCCACCTTGACAACCACGCGTTTACCAATGTAGTGGATGCGCAAAAACTCCCTCGCCTCCCACTCGTAGTCCATGTAAGTCACACGTGTCTCAGGGGAACGACCATCCTGTTCACGGGTGATATTCTTACTCGAGCGTACACCGGCGAGAGAAACGCGAATAAATTCCCTTGACTCATCTGAGCGCACAGTGATGGTGTCACCATTAACAATTTGCACCACCACAGCACTAAAGGACAACGGCCCCTTGTACTCCAGGCCTGTACTGCCGTTAGCGTTATTTACAGGCAGACCGGCAGCAGTGGTCGCAGCCATCCCATAATTGACTTGAAGGGTGTTTTTGTCTGTGGGTTCTTTCCAATTCTTCCAGATCCCCTGCCGCTTCTCCCGCGCTTCCTTTTCAGCAGCGTGTAATGCATCAGACTGACTTGTAAATCCCAAAGTCGCGCCATTTAGTTTTACAAACCCTCGTGAGAGTAGCTCACTTTGGAATACACCCGTGGAAGAAGTAACAGAACCAAGAATATTTCCAAAATCATCAATACCCTCAAAAAAAATTTTGACCCTGCGGTGCAATAAGTAACGTTCGGTATGAAAACGCGCCTCAGAGGCGACGGCAAAGCAGTCAGGATCCTTTACCGTCACACCAGGCATATGAACCGCTATGGGTGTGTCAGGAAAACTTTCCGCCAGGACCATGCAGACGGTCGGCAAAAGAACCTGTTCGACGCGCACAAGAACAGTTTTTCCCTTCAACTTTTCCCCCAACTTCGTTGTCTCGTCCACTGTAAGATCACGAAGCTTCCGCGTGTGCGATGCCGCATCGGGAGCAAAAACACCCTTCCTTGCCAGCTTTGCCTCATTCATAAGTGCAGAGTACTCCTTAAATAATGCCTTTTCCATACGGGCTGGGATGCGTTCCGGCACGGTGGCAAATCCATGCCGCAGTAGAAGCAGTGAGGCATCTTCTCCGCTTGCAAGTTTCAGGCGTCCAGCACGTCGTTGGAGTGCATCAATTACATAATCTTCAGTAAACTTTACAGGTTTTCCAATAAAAGTGGTGCGCATTAATTCCGCCGCTTCAAATGCAAAAGGATCCTCAGGTCCAAACTCAGCATTAGATGCACGACGAGCAAGTTTCGGGGCCTGAATAAAGCTTAGCGCTATTTGCTTTAGGTTAGGACCTTCAGGAGTGGGAGGGCCGAGGAGCGTCAGTCGATCGGCGCTATCCACTGCAAAAACAATGTAGGACATTCAATGGATTTCAATAAATGGTGATTGCAGTTCTCGTATTCCCACTTTGCAAAAGTATGTGCGTATATGCGGATACAAGGGCCCCCTTTAATGTTGTTTGCGTGTGTTCCTTTTCTTTCTTTTCGCACGTTTACTTATATAAAAAGTTGAATGTATAAATTTATGACTTTCCGTCTTCTGTGTTATGCTTGGAAGTAGTCTGCGTTGTCGCGCTTTGTTTGAAGACAGACAATAAGTCGATGGAGGCAAGGGCAAGGTATAAAAAGATGGGTGAGACAGGCATGCGTGTGCGTGACGAGAGACTGCGGCAGCTGCCCAAGAACTATATATATAAACGTGTCATCCCATCCCCTCCAGCAACAACACCTGCAATTGCGTGATAAAAAGAGTTGGAAGAGAGACAACCGTTTCTAGTGTACAAAAGGAGCATCTACACAATGGAGAGAGGACGGACTCAGTGCACCTCTAATCTATAGACAAGCCGGTTCCGGTAGTCCCATGGCACGCATCTCACGCGTCAAGTCGCGTTCTTGGATCGTGTCGTGCACCCCCGGCATACGTTCAGATGTTATCTTGTTATAGTAGAGTGAGACGAGTTTGCGTTGACTGGCTGTTAGGCCCACCAAGTAGGGAAGGACGGCAGTGTCTAGGCTCATCCATATAGAGACAACCACAAGAACTGCGGTAAGACGAACCTCGGTAACGGCGTGCCGCAGAGCCTGAAGAACGACACCGCACAGACGGGAAAAGACAGGTTCACTTACAACACCTGAAGTAGCAGAATCCTGCGGGGCCACATATTCGTTAGAAGGGTCCTGCACCAAGACGATGCCTCTTCCCTGTCGAGCAAACAGGTGTTCTACGGATTCGAGTAGCATCAGCCAACCGCTGCTACTGTACCCACTGTCATCAGATAACCAATTTTCTAAACTCATGGCAACTGAATTCAAAATGTGATCTATGGGGTAAAGACGGCCACTAAAAATCGTTTGCAGCACAGCTGTGGCCTCGACATGCACTTCAGGGAAGACATCATCTATTCCCACACGTGCAAGAAGAACAATCCGTTTTAAGCATCGGGTAACAGGTCGCTGTAGGACTTTTTGTTCAACTACGGTGCGAAGAACAAGAATCCCTCGACGCCGCACAACATGATTGGGCTCACATGACTGAGAAATAAGTCTCTCGAGTTGCATTAGCAGGTGTCCGAAAACATCTAACCACGGTGTTGGGTTCACTGCAATCATACTTTGTACTCGGTCAAGAACAGCGCAGACGTCCACCACTCCGTATGTTTCGTCCAAGCGAACGAGAAGATCACTTGGGTCATCGCTTTTACAAGCGGGTTGGCAGGAGGATGGTGCCCCTACAGGAGCAATTGAATCACGGTGAGTGAAATCACGAGTTCTCAGTAATGACTCACGCTGAGAGGACCGTTGCAAGGTTGGCGCACTTACCGAACCCAGCCCTTCACAGTTGGTTCTTTGTATTTTCTCCAACCCACCATTTGCTTGTTCGTTGGCTGATGAAACATTACAAACCTTTTTGTAATCCACCTCCTTTTTGACAGAAGAAGAAGCAGAATGGGTCTGTCGTCCTTGCCCTCGCACCATCCGCTGTCGCTCAATTCCTGGACCACACTTTGGGGAAGTGCCACTGCTGTGCCTAAGTTTCTCTGCAAATGGGGAGCAAATGTGCAAAGGGGCATGCTGCAGCGGTCTCTCGCCCGTCACGCGACGCCGGCACTCCTGTGCGAGGTGTGGAATGGTGGGCTCTAACGTCTCAACGAGGGCATCGCGCTCAATCGGTGATAACTGAAGCAACGTTCGTACGAAATTCGTCTCTGCCGAAACATACAGTGCAGCAAGAGAAGAAATGGCAGCCTTGTATACATCACCTCCCTTTCTATTGCTCCTTAAACACTGTAAGAGATGCGTCATGGCCAGAGTCATTGGCGAGGATTGTTCAAAATGAGCAGCATGTTGCTCATAGAGGTACTGAGCATATTCCACCGCGTGCACCTTAACCCTGGGGGCAACCACATCGCCGAGTGTGCGGTAAATGGCGCGAGCCACGTCATCCACGGCATTCACCTGAATGATGCTAGCAAGATGCTCCCGCGAGGCATTTGACAGCGCCTCCTTGTTCCCACTCATGTTGACAAGGAGCGCGGTTACCACGTCCGGCAAAACCACCTTCAATAGGGTAGGAGAGGTACGCATTACCACCTGCAACACCTGAAGTGCCATTTGTGCCACCCGAGAGTTGGGGTCGTTTAGACGCGGGATCAGCAACCTCACAGATTCCGCCTCTTGACGAAAATGGAGAAACCCTTCAGAAAGGCGTCGTAGCCCCAAAAGACGTTCAGACCACAACGTACTTTGAAGTGCATCGTGCACCAACGCCCAACTCTCCGCCACGTCTTCTGTCATCTTATTTTCCCCCTCCGGCGCCTTCACGGCAATGTTCCCGTGACTATTTGTTACAGAGAGAGAAATATGTGGTGGCAATAACAACTGCTCCACATCCTCAGAATATCCACTTGCTGTCTTCGTCGTTTTTGTCACCGCAACCGGGGTTTTCCCAACAACGGCGGCATCTTTTGTATTTGGTGCTTGCGGGAAAATTTTGCGGGCCAATGATCGCTTCACTGGGTTTTCCATCCCCTTGTAAAGCCTCTCCGCCGCCTCTGGCTCACTAGCATGAAAGGTCCAAAAACACGACCGGGCACATCGTCGCGTCTCTTCATCTGCGTCGGACAATGCAAACCGCAGCACCCTGCAGATGGCATCAATAGACTTTGAAAGCGGAACGTCGCCATCATCATTCTGGCCCTGCTTCATGACAACTTGGAGTACACCAAGGGCATTTCGCCGTGTTGCCGCGTGCCGGGCAGTACAGCCGCGAAGAAGTTCTGCAAATGCTGCAGGCCCAAAACTATTCGTCCTTGCAAGTGCCCCCAACGTCCCTACTGCGGACAAAAGTGAAACACGATTGGTGCGCATTGTTAGCTGCAGCAAGGAAGGAATAAACCACTCACTCGCAGCTCGCCACGCAGTGCGGTTGCTTGAGTGTTCCGCAAACGCAACCACAACGGCACATGCTTCAGTGCTCAACAGTGTCCGCACCTCTTCAATGTGATGCTGTAGCGGAACCTTCACGTACATGCCCATCAGTGAAAGAAACCCGCGACATTTGGAGACATCGCCGCGAGCAAGTTTGCAAAGTTGTCGCAGTGCTACAAGACGCTTATCCCAGTCGTTCGTGTTCGCGGTGCCCTGCACGGAGCAGCTAAGAACGTCGCAGAGTCTCCGCAACTCTTCGGCGAACTCCCGATCACTCAGCTTAGTGAAATCCGGGTCGTCGCAGCCATCTGACTGCATCGTTGCACGATGTTTGCTCCTTGCAACCCACCTTTTTTGCGGCCGTGTCTCCGGTATCCTCTGGGCGTGTTGGCTCCAACGGGAGGAGGAGAAAAAACAAAAACAAAAAACGTGTTTCGGAGGCCTACGGCAGACGCCCCTCATTTCCAATGTAAGCCAACAACAACAAGAGCAACAGAAACGGGAAAAACAAGACAACGAGGAAACGTTCAACCAAACCACGAAGGGCGTCAATAGTAACAAGGAACAACATATCCTCTGATATGCATGCAAGGAGGACTGGAGAGACCAAACAAAAACATGCAGCGAGTAGCGAAAAGAGAAAAAAGAAGATAAATCGTTTATTTTCCAACCATGGAACCTAATTGACGTGGGCATGTGTCACAGAAAAGATCCCGTACTAATGTGACAGCAACTCAATTGCCGCCGCCTTCCCTAAAGCCATAGCGGTGGAGACAGAACCAGACCGTAGTGTGTCACAGCCACCGGCCCTCCACCCCATCTCCCCCACTGCCGAGCAGTCGCCAATAAAAACATTTTGAGTGCCTGACAGGCGAAAACTTTCATTCGCATTTGCGAGTGACGCCGCACAGGAGCCACTTCCAAAACCCAACCAGAACGCATGTCGACGAATGTATGCATCCATGTACGCAGGGCTTCTTGAAGATTCCGCTGCCCATGCCACCAAAGCCGGTGCATTGCTGCGTTGTTGTTTGGTGAGCTTCGATGGTAGAGTTCGCGTCAACTTCACGTATTGAACGGCAAGTGTGGGGTCTGCGGTCAGTGTAGCATCAACCGCCTCCTGCCCGCTTGAGAATCGCGTGAGTGGCGGTTTACCCACAATTTTTCGACAGAGTTGCATGCCGTCCATGAAGGCCGAGGACACCTTCGCCAACAGTGCGCTGGACAACACAGAAGAAGGGGGTGAAATAACTCTATTAAGGTAAGAAGAGGATTCTGCTCCCGCGTCCACAGATCCCTCTACAGAGTCCATTAACAGATCAAAGCAGAGGCCGTCCACACCGCGCAAAGTTATCAAGAACATGAATCCCTCTGCAAATGCACCAAGCATGCGATCCAGACCCAAGTGTCTATAAAGTGTGCGGTCGCGACCTCCAAAGGGCAAGAAGAAGACGACCAGTTCCGCACAGGTACCAAGTGAAGGCACATCAACGACCGCCAACGTGTCGCATACGGAGTTAAGAAAAGGCCCTCGTCGCGCTATCCACCATGCCATGTGTGCCTTAAAGGAACGGAGATTTCGACGATCGTCCGACAGCCCAGGACGGGCTCGAAAAATTAGTGGCAACGCAATGGAATCACGAACTGTAAAGTGCTCCTGTAGCTTCGGAAAAACGTGCCTAATAATCCGTGCTGTCCCAACAATACCGGCGGACAAAATGACGCCTCTTCGAACAGCCACCTTAAAGGTGCGTGAATCCAGCGACCGGCAGTGAACACTTGTGACGATGCCTTTGTCATCCAACGAGAGGCCCGTAACCTCACAGCCCTCCAAAAGAGAAAACCTGGAGTTGTGTTTCTGCAGCAAATAGTGTGAAAGTGGGAGGCGACACCCATCTTCATCAAGACGAAGTAATCCAGGGAAGACACAGTTGCGGACATACGGCGCTGAAAGGGTGGAATAATGTTTGTTTTTCAGCACCGCGCCAGAAGATTCTGCAAATGCCCACGACAACGGATTTCGGCCAACCGAAAAAGTATGAGGGACAAAAACCTCTTCTACAGGCTTCACTCCAACAGTCACAGGAATAGGTGGGAAGTAAATGGCCCAATCCATGACGGAAGTACCTCCCACTGCACATCCTCTCGGATACGGTGCGACGGAGGGAACACCCTCATCATTTCCACTCACTCCTTGACGCAAAGGACAGTTCACGTACCATCTGCTGTCCAGCTTTGATCCCACAAGTTCCACGGCGTACGACAGCAACTTATCCATGTGTGCAATACCAGTGATGGTAACGAAGGGGCCCGTAGAGGGAGAATCCATGCCACGCTCAACGAGAAGCACCGAGGCGTCTTTTTCACGCTCCATTAGGCACTGAGCCGCGGCGAGACCACCTGGGCCAGCACCAACAACAATGAAGTCAACCTGTAGATCCTGAAACGGCCGCCGCATTACATTGTAGGGCCTGTGAACGTACTTTGAGCGCAACCGCAATTGCCAAAGCCAACAGAAAAGAAACCCCACAAGGGCGACAATCCACGCGAGTAGCATCGTATGCGTTACTGTGAAGATATATTATATAAAGACGTTCGCCTAAGTTCAACAGCAAGAAGCAAAAAAATAAATAAATAAAGGCGTGTGTTTAGATCGTAGAGGAGTGTATCACCTTCTGTTGTGTGCGTGGATGTATTACTCCCAGCACACAGAATAAAATAAAACAACAACAACAAAATATCTTCATTTAAAAAGCAGAAGAACAGGCATTAAAACAAAAAGACAGGTAATGAGAGATAATGCGTGCGCAGCTGTTGACAATACGCACCATGACACACATAAAAAAAAAAAAAAGATAACAGTAAAATACTCCGCGCAGATAGGTACACCTCCAGTAACAAATTTGTTCCGGATAAAAGCATTGCATTCGTTTTCTCCCTTTTCCTCCGCGCATTAAAGCCTTTATTTCCCTTCATTTTACCTTTGTTTGTTTTGTTTCTCTTTTTCTTGTTGGAGGAGAGACTTGTGGGCATTTTATTTATTTATTTTTCGCCTTCCTCATCTTCTTTTGTACGCACGCGCAATATATATATATTATCCCTTTCATATTTCCGTTATTACCTCACTTCTCTCTCTCCTCCACACACATCTATTTATCTCTTCGCCTCTAGTTTCAGAGAAGATGCTTTTTTTTTTACCACGTTTGACTCTTACTTCTTCACGTATATCGTCTCCTCTCTCTGTTTCGAGCACCCCCCCCCCGTCCAACGCGCAGATTCGCGCCTGCAGTTTGCAGAAGGGTTCACCGTTTTCCCCATGCGCACGCACCCCTCACCATGCGTGCGTGTTCCTCCCGTATTTACCGGTACCTCTTTGCCTCGTCGCCACCTGTCTAGGAATAAGAAATTAAAACCTCGCTGGGGGCAACTGAAAAAGGAAGTAAAACATATTTAAAAAAGAGGAGGAAAAAAAAAACTAAACAAATAATCAAACACCCACATCCATCCGGTAGTGTGCTTCGGTGTAAATGCTCTCATCCGCGTGTTTTTTCCACACCCTTCATACACGTATTTAATAAAATTGGTAAATAAAGGTGCGCGCGATGAGGGGGGACAAAAAGATGAGGCGTACAGGTATGCGAGGATGTGTGTGGGAGAGAAGGGGGTGGTACGTCACGGACAACGGGGTGACCTTCAAACAACCAACATACACCCCAACACACCCTCGTCTATACATTAGCCGAAACAAACATTGAAGAACTAATTTGCGCCAAAGACAGTTTTTTTTTGAGAAAAAAAAAAAAGGAAAAAGGAAAAGAAAAAGGGCGGTAAAAAGGACGACGACAGAAGCAACGTCCACTCCAATTCAAACCGTCCTTTTGTTGCCACGGTCGAATGTCATGTCTGCACCCGCCAAAAAAAAAAAAAAACCACTGATTCTTTCCCACCTGCATTTCTTCCCTCCTTCACACACAATAAATCACGTCCGAAGTAAAAACGCTATAATAAAAAAAAAAAAAATGAGAATAAAAGTGGTAAATGGAAACAATTCCTCATCCGGGCGCACCTGCACTAACCTGCATAAGGACGGGCATCCATCCACTCAGTGTATGCGCACCTACACACTACTCAATTTCATCACTCCGTTTTCGCTCTAATACTAACAAAAGCAAACAATACACAACACAATTCAAGACCTTTAATAAAAGTAAAAAAGGAAAAAAAAATGCATCAACGTTTTTTTGTTTTAGCATTCTCAACAACACCAAAACTGTAGTTCTCAAGCGCCTCCAGGACGCCGTCAATAACCATGCTCTCGTACTCCTTCGGAATCAGAAGGTGACGGCGGCTGAGGGTGAGGCTGTAAAGGTTCTCGTCGCCGTTTTTGTGACAACCTGAGCGCATGTGAGACAAAGTCCAACGGTGGGACCTCAACAACTGGGCGGTGGTCATTCCTGGCACTATAGACATCTCGCTGTGTTGATACGACGGTATGTCAGAAGAGTTTGAATGCGTGTCGTCCACGTCTTCCGATCCCATGAAACTGGGAACCTGGAATAAGGGATGGTTATTGCTCTCAAGCTCCAATTGGTGCATCTGGGGTTTCCTTGGAAAGTTAAACACTGGACTCCACGCGCGTGAGAAGAAAAAGAAACAGAGAAGGGCACAGAAACGCCACATGAGAGCTTCACATCATCGCTACTTCTTTGGGTGCAGGTCACCGGCGAACAGTACAAGAGTAAATGCCAATAAGACATAAATGCATGACACTCGTGTAGATGGACCGCTACCTGCATACGAGCACACACACACGCACACACAGGTAACTTCTCCGCGTCAAACCTCCGAACAGAAGAGGGAGAAACACAAAAAGGGAAAGCAGCAGCAACAACAACAACAACACCAACACCAAAAAACAAAAAAAAACAAAAAACACGGGTCTCCCCACCGGAATAGATGCCATAATAACACTAAAGCCTCTTGTAGCTCCTACTCTGCTTGGGCAGCCAATCCAAATGGTTCATACGCCAGGCCATCACCGATATAAAACTTGTTGTTAAACTCCACCCAATGTAATCGGAGCGCATGCAGGAAAGCAGAAAGGGCCTCCATCCCCACAAGCACCGCCAGGGTCACCCCAAGCCAGACGGCAACTCCTGCAGCAATAAAAACACCAGTTGTATCTACATTAAGCACCTTTACCACCGCAAAGGTAAAGAAGACCTCGGACAGTTGAGCGTGCGCCAATGAAAGAGCCCACAATCGAAGATACGATGCAGTATTCGATACACATCCAAGAACGTACTCGATAGTATCTATCATATAATGAATAATAACCTCAGATAGGTTAAAAGGATGCTCCGTCTCCATATCACCAGCTGTATGATCCGTAGCAGCAGCATGAGCATCACCAATACCGTGCTGAGCATGCTCAGCAGATGCTTCTTCAAAGCGACCATTGTCTGAAACTACATCTGAATGATCTCTCCACTCAGCTTCTAAACCACCTGGAGAGAGACCACTCCGATGCTCAATAGAAACGGCGGCTGTTTGTTCCTCGTTCATAAATGAATTACTCATATTTATTGCCGATGAAATATGGTCTGAAAATGTGCAATACTCCCTAGACACTCCTATGTGTTTACAGGCCTCTAGAAAAGGCATCATAATTAACATCACAGGAACCATGGCAAAGGCTGTAAGTAGTAGTATGACCTGAACCAATGTCTGACCCCTATAAAGAGGTTGTGTCACAGTGCCAGGCTGTAAGAAGAAGTTTGTCATCATTTCCAGGATACTTGGCGCCTCACTTGTGTTCTCCCAACTGGTACACCATTTCATCACGATAGCAAGCGACATGTAACCAAATGTGGAAAGCAGAAATACCACCTTAGGGATGAAGAGAAACAAAGCCTTGGAAAGGTCGCGATTGTATATGTAATTAAGGAGCGATATAATGTTTCCTACGAGCATCTGAACCACCCCAACAATGACTGCACACTTCATTTTGACAGAGTTGTAAAACTCCAACTTGTTCTCAGTCTCTGTCCACGCAACATCAAGTCCCACTGGATAAACACCCGTCCTATTGTTCATGCCTAGTGGGTGAACGGTCCCATTTTGTTCGTCAATGGGGGGCCAGATGTAGGCGCTAGAAAACGGTCCAATCGAGAACCCAAAGAAATCGTTGTAGAGAGCCCCCATGTAAATTGAAAAGAGTCCCATCAGCAACAATAAGTAGCGCCCACCAAAAAGCATGGCAAACATTTCATTTAAATGGCAGCCGTTCCAACTGTTTTCCTTCAAGACCAAATAAAGAGCAAAAAAAAACAACAACATGCCGTGACCAATATCACCATACATAATGCCGAATAAGTACGGAAAGGTCACAATTGTAAAAACTCCCGGGTTTACTTCCTTGTATCGTGCTGTGCCATAACTATCCACGAGACTCTGGAAACCGCACGTAAATTTATTGGTCTCAAAACATGTGGGAGGATTACTTTGTGAGGGGTGAGTTAAGACCACGGAAGCCACATTGCCTGCAGCCGTGTGCACGGCTTCCCTTATAGCTGTACGAAGAGCCTCAGCATGCTTTCGTGGAATCCATGCAGAGGCAGTGCACGTAGAACCACACACAATGCACAAATTCATGATTGTGAAAATCTTCTTCTTCATTTGAACAACTTGAAGAAAAGTGGAATGGACGCGAATATGCTTTTGAAGCAGCTCCACTTTTCGCAGCTGCATCTGCTCGTACATGTGTTGTAGCTCTTTCATTTCGCGTTCATGTTCTTCCCGCGTTGTCTGCGAGACTTCCCTCAAAGAATAAATGGTCGCTCCAAGACTGAGGATGAGACGCTCTACCCGCTTCTGTACAGCAGGCGAAGAGGTAAATACTGCGAAGGGGGTTTTGGCAATACATCGCTCGCCAGTCAATGGGTCAAGAAGCATAACGTGCTCGTTATCCAGCTCGATGAGGGTGTTTCCTTTGGTTGCACGGTATGTCATTGCGTAAATAACCTCCTCTCGGGTTGCATCCACCATCCCTAATACGTGCGGTGTCTGCAAGAATGCATCAGAAGGTTGCGAAAGGGGGGATGGCAGGAAATTCTGCATTTGTGTGTGTAGCAGAGACAATTCCATGCGCAAATTCATCTCACGTCGCAGACCCTGAAGCGAGGCATTCACAACTTTTAATTCTTCCAGCAAGGCATCCACCGCTTCTTCATCCTCAATCACGGTGCCACACAAAAGTCTTCTGACATCGTCAGGGCTACCCAATGCGGGAAGCTCCTGTTCGTTCACGTCCATCTCCCTCTCCAGTTCTGCCTTGATTATAGAGAGCTTTCTCTCCAGCTCGTCACATCTACGAATTTCAGTTGTGTATGGCCGCATAAAGGCGGTCTCGCTGCCATTCACATCCACAAATTGCGCCTTTCCAAGCAACCCAATGGAGACCACTGTGTCGTACAGAACCTCCCGTTGTGTGACGATGTCAAGACGAATCATGTCCTCTGAGCGCCACAGACCGCTTGCCCCTTCACGTGGCATGTTTTCTTAGTTCCTCTTGCCTGTATTGCTGGGATTGGAGTACGCACGCAGCCACACGCCTATATATAAGAAGGGAGAAGAAGGTGAATGCGTGGATGAGTAGTCAATGCCAAAAACGCGACAGAAGCAATATGCTCTGAAGCAGAAGAAATAATAACAACATCAGTAACAAAACGGAACAAAAAAGGGACGTTGCTGCAATAAACGTGCGTGGTCCATGCAAAATAAAAATAATAATATCTCCATCCCGCTTCTACCTGCTTCTCCTCAACTTAAATATCCCAACTACATTTACAACGAGAGGCAACGTACCCCGACGCGCACGCCTACTATTTTCGCCTGCTATGTTTGTCTCCAAAGATTGTTTCGTAATTTTACCATCATTGTTTCAATCCTCTTAATGAAACGGCGAAGCTTTGAGGCGAGGACGGCCGGCTGATCATCCATGACGTAATGTCCACACCCACCGCCGAGAATCTCGAACTGGAACTTCCCCTGCATCTGGGCAAGAGTAAGGGCATCATCAAGGCGCTCGGCATTGGCAAGACAGAGCATCTTAGGGCACGGCAAACCAACAAAAGCGTCATCAAGTCCGTTAAACCACCCAGGCCATACAGACGACATTGCCTCTAGGTTAGACTTCCATTCGTAGTGGTCCCCCACACGTTTTAGTAGTGGAGGCACTGTTACTGCCGCTCCGGTAGCCGTTGTCATGCCACCACGTTGCAAGAACCAACTTTGTGCCTCTGCCACATCAGAGAACTGATGTGGACGGTTCTGAAGAAATTTGTTCATGTATCGCAACGACATCCTCGCGGTGCCCTCCACCACATCAAGCACCACCACCCCCCCCACCATGTTCATCAGGTCCTTGGACTTACTCAGAGAATTCACTGCCACTGAACCTCCCAGTGAATGACCCACAACGTACACGCGGGGTGTGTCGGGGAAGAGGGTGCTCTTCACAGTGCGCAATATGGCACAAAAATCGTCCGTAAGCAGCTGCAAGGTGAGATTCGCCTCCCCACCGTCAAACGTTGAGTCTCCATGGCAACGCATATCATATGCAACCACACGAACAATGCCCGTAGGTTCTTCGGAATTCGGCCCGACACCATCCCCCTCGACCTGCTGCAGATGCATCAAGTGGGTGGAAAGTAGAAAAAAACTAGAACAGCTCATGCCGGCGCCGTGTACACAAAAGAGCAGAGGAGGGGGCGTCTCCCCCCGCCGAGTATATTCCTCGTCAATGCCACCAAAAACAACAACGTGAAATTTGTCGCCTGAAGGCAGCATGATGTCATGGGCCTCATGGGGCGCGACGGTGTGCGAGTCCATCCTCACTCCAAAATCTAGACTATTCGGGTAAGTAGGGAGGTCGGGAGTCTCGCCGTCGTTCCAAGGCTACGGTGCCCTAAACTAGAAAGAAGTATAAATGTCAATAATTCCAAAATGGAGCAAACCCCATATATATATATATATATTCGCCTAATCAAGGTTCTTCCCTTTAATCCAACAAAAGGGAAGGGGCAAGAATGGAAGAGATGACAGTTTGCTTCAGTGTGCGCCCAACGCCTCCCAATTAAGGAACAAATTCGTCCCACACACTCCCCAGTAATCAAATTAATTCATAAAATTAACCGTTCGTAACCGGGCTCTCTCTGTAAATTCACAACGTGGCAGTCGTTACAACCCCATTCCTCTGCTGGATGAGTATCAGCAATGAAAAATTGCAGCAGGAAACACAGCTGCGCTTGTGCTGCCTTCCAACGCAGCTGCATCATCTCATTCACTCCAGTTGGTTGCGCATGCGTTCCGCATGCTTCTCGGAAAGAACAAAAAGAAAAACGTGAGAAGAGAACGCGTGGAGGCGGTTGAAAGTATGAAATCAAACATGAATGAACACCTGCTAATTCCCCCCCCCCCCCCTCCTCCTCCTCCTCCTCCTTAAAGGTGCCAAGAAGGGACCAAAGGTCATAGAAGCATGCCTATTAGACCATTTCACAGAGAAGCGGAATCTATTCCAGCGAATTCAGCAACATTGAGCGGTGATAAGTTCTCTCAGCATCCCGCAGAAGTTTTTCAAGTGCATACGTTTTTTCCAGACGTCCGCGTGCTATTCGCTCCTTTACGGCCAGCAGCTTTGCAAATTGCCGCTGCTCCACGCAGCGCAGAGCGTTGATCTCCTCTGTGCGCCGCCTTGTGGCATGCAGCACCTCTTGTGTGCACTGCAACGCCTCTAACACCACCGCCGCATCCGCGTACTCTTGGCTTTGGCCTTCTCTGCACTGCAGTTGCAACTCCAGGTTCAAAGACTCTGTGAGAAGTCCCTCAAAACGCAACATCTCACAATCCGCCGCTGTGTCTGGTGAGCGTCTCCGCTTTCTAAGGGAAAGACTTGAGCTCTGAGTGGCTAAAGACGAAAACAGATCCTTGCAAGCCGCATGTAACTCATTCCTGAATTTGTTATATTCGTCCATGTTTATCCGCTGAAGTTCTAGCAAGGCGTGACGTTTCTCGCCGTACGCACTCTTTTCCCCCTGGTCGCACTCCGCCTCGTGGCGCACCATTGCACGCGCCTGCATCAATTTCCGCTGGCAAGGCACCTTGTCCACGTAGGGAAGAATTAGTGACCCCGACATGAGATACACTTCTTCGTTGTATTTAATGGGGTATGCGCATCATTGTTGGATGTGGTGCGCAGATGCACATTCCGCATGTTTGGCAAAAGAACGTTACCAAAACGAAGGAACAAAAAAAAAAAAGGGATAGATAGAAAGGGGAAAAAGGAAAAAAAAAAACAAGACAAACAACTAACAAAAAAGGCAAAAAATACAAAAGGAAAGACAATACTACAAATAAGG